CCGGTGAACCTGACAAAGAAGATGGATTCACTGCTCACCAATTTCTTCTGGTCAGGGTCAATGCAGAAAAGCACTATGCACTGGTGCAGAAAGGAGATCCTATGTGCCCCAAAAGCTGAGGGGGGATTGGGATTCAGAAGCTTCAAAGATTTTAACATGGCCTTACTAGCCAAACAAGCATGGAGAATCTTAAACTCACCAGATGCCCTGTGGTGTCGACTCCTGAAGGGCCTGTATTTCCCGCGAGGGGGATTCATGCAATCGAAAAAAGGAAGCAGATCGTCGTGGATATGGGCAAGTCTGTGGGAGGCAAAAAAGGTGATTAAAATGGGAGCTATCAGAGTCATAGGTTCCGGAGAGGAAACCTGGAGTGGTCAAGACCCGTGGATTCCAAATCTTAAAAACTTTGTCATTGGAAGCGGGCCCCAGCAAAACCTGAAGGTTAAAGAGTGGATTGACCCTGGTAGTAGAAGCTGGGATACTGATATGCTACAAGGCCATGTGACGAGAGAGGAAGTGGAGGCAATTCTTAAGGTCCCTATTGGAGAGGAGGGATCTGAGGACTTTTGGGCGTGGAGTCTCACCCGAGAGGGAGAGTTCTCGGTCAAGACAGCCTACCACGCGGTTCATAAAGCCAATAATAGTTTCCAGGCGACGGGTAGTGAAGAGAAGTGGAAATGGATATGGGGACTAAATATCCCACCAAAGCTAAAATTCTTCTTATGGAGGTGTTCCAGAAACGGGTTGGCAACGAGAGCAAGACTCTTCCAAAGGAAATGTGCTCCTAACCCGAATTGCTATGTGTGTCAAAACCATAACGAATCCCTCAACCACTGCCTTTTCTACTGCCCTCATGCCAATGAGGCGTGGAATAGCACCTTCCCCTCAATTCCGTTCCCTCCTCAGGGCACCTCGTTCTTTGATTGGTTCTGCTCCCTCAAAGATACCATCCCTGAAAATTCCCTGATTCACATCATTTACCTTTGCTGGAATATTTGGAAGGCAAGAAATGAAAGCACGTTCAAGAATCGCGTTCCCTGGCCCCCTAACGTTTGTCTGCAAACATATAGAGAGCTCACGGAATGGGTTGCTTGCCCGAGGCCCCCACCTCAAGGTTCTGAAGGTCCCAATCAGCTCAGGGGATCCCACCCCAATACGAATCCACCGCCAAGTAATCACTCGAGAGTGATTCAATGTGATGGGTTGTTTTTTAGCGGCCCCCAGTCGGCGGCTTATGGTGTTGTTGTTGTTAACCACCATGGAAAAGTGTGTGATGGGAGAGCTGAAAATCTTCTTTGTTCCACCCCGATTGAAGCGGAAGCGAAGGCGCTTTTGGAAGGAATCAAATTAGCACAAGAATATGGATCAGTGTGTACAGTTCAATCTGACTGTCAGGTTCTGGTGAAGGCATTGAATCTTAATCACTCACGTTGGCCCTGGAGATGCGCAGCCTGGATTAGAACAATGGTTAATATCCTTAGAACTAACCCAGCAATTTCGGTGGAAGAGATCCCAAGGGCAATGAACGTCAGAGCTGATTGGGTTGCACGATCAAAAGCTACTTCTTCTCTACCAGTAGACTGGATTAATATTCTTGACCTAACTTCTGTTCTCCTCTAAAAATGTAATAGCTTGTGCGTGAAAGTTGTTTTCGGTGGAATAAAAGTCGATATGATTTGTCAAAAAAAAAAAAAATTATCCTGCCCACTCTCTTTTCATTCGTTTTTGGCCTTCGGGGTTTATGGTCCTTCTTTCCTCGACCCGATTCCCATCGTAAAACAAGCAAAGCGGAAGTCAATTCTCTTTCCCCCCTCTCTTACTAGTTACTTCCAATTTCATTCTCTTTCTGCCTTAGAGCTTCAGACGTCTCGATAATCCTCAATCATTTTCCGTCTTCTTCGTGTCAAATCTCTATAATGAATTATGGATTTAGGTTTTTGTGATTTTTCCCCCTCTTCTCCTTGCACGTCTCTTATTTGATCTCTGAAACCCGTTCGGTGAAGATGACTCATCTTCGCGCTAACACTCTGAAATCAACAATTCCATTTTGTTCCCGTTGGCAGCTCCACTTAACTTCCTCGAAGATTATACCCATCTGGTAAACCCCTCTCTCACACTAAAATCCAATTTCTTCTATCCCCTTCCCTAAGTTGAGCTTTGTATTAAGTTTTTCTGATGTGGTTTCGCTATGGGGAGGGCAAATGGTGATAGATTTGTGGCGTCATGGTGTTGACTGTGTCAGTCTTCCTGGCTCTCAAGGACATGGTTCTGGGTATGGGGCTTTGATCGTGGGAAGGAAGCACCAGGGACTTTGGGCACGCTGGAGATGAAGGCGCCACCCTACCCGCCGGCTCTCAATCTAGAAGAGACAAAAGAAGTCATCGTCGATGATTACTTTTGATGAAAATGGTGGAGGCTAGGACATGCACACCTTATCGGTAGGTTTGATCTAAGGAATCTAGGTGATACTCTTTCAATTCCTTCATACTTCTATACTGACCAGCTAAGCTTGTTAAATTCGAGATTTAGGTTACTGGCCCAGTTAATTTAGGGCTTTTCGATGGTTAGCGATTTTGAGATTATGGATTGGTGTTTGGTTTGTATTAACCCGGATTCTGTTTACTAATTTGTTGTTCTTCAGTAATGTGGAATCTTTTGTTTGAACACAGTATTAGGGGGCTTTGGGAATTTGTTTATTGCTATACTTCATGGTAGCTGATGAAGTTGATTAACTTAAGCCGACTCAAGCAAGCATCGGTATTAAGAACGAAGACACATTATGCAGAAGGTACAAGTTTCAGCCCAACCTCTGAAGTGGTTTTGTGATTAATACCAAAGAGGTTTGCTTGGTTGTAATTTATGCTTCTTGTCTCTGTCTCCGAACTTGGAAGGTTGTTGTAATTGCTTCATTTCTGTAGATTTAATTTGCTGCTATTTCTCAGTGGAAGTGGTTGTATAGAGCTATCTTTTGGAGAAATGAAGTTAATGAACTGATTCTCTGTTGTATGGATGCAGGGGCACGTTATAATGTCATTGTTGGCGCCATTTATAATAGAATAGAAGTTGCTTTCACTTGTCATATTTTGTCTCATCATTTTGATCTACAAGATGAAGTGCAGAAGTGAGAGGTTGTTTACGTCACTTATATAAGTTGCAACTATGTATTTCATGATTTATTGAATAGTTAAATTAACCAAAAATTTAATTTATATATTAAATTAATATTGTCATGATCTCAAATGACCTTCATGTTTCAATTTTTGTAATTTTCTTAAAATACGTAATATCAAGTGAGTTTCATATTTTTAAATTTCCTATACGAAACGAAAAAATAATTTTACTTAAGTTTAGAATAAAAAACTTTATTTTGAAAAACTATGTATTGTATATTTTTATAATTATTCAAGTGGATTAGATAAAATTCGGGTTGAGTCGGTCGGGTTACGGGTTAGTCAGGTTCGGGTCAATCGGGTTCGGGTTCATCGGGTTGCGGGTCAGTCGGGTTGCGGGTCAATCGGGTTCGGGTTAATCGGGTTGTGGGTCAGTCGGGTTGCGGGTTAGTTGGGTTGCGGGTCAATCGGGTTGCGGGTTGGGCGGGTTACGGGTTGTTGAGTTTTAGTCAATTCGGGTTGCGGTCGGGTTGCGGGTCAGTTTGATCGGGCGGGTTAATCGGGTCGGGCTATGTTTTGACACCTATACTGGTAACTGGTGTTTGGTAGGGAATTGTTATTTACAATAGTATATTTTTTTCGTTGAATAATAGTATATTTAAGCGAAACACATTTGAGTTATTTAGAATATTTGTAAGCAGTGTTGTCAAAGCCAAACCGGACAACGATATGAATTACCGAGAGATTTAAAGTTTATTGGATAATCGGTACTTAACCGGTACAAAATCCGATCATAAAACCGGTGACATATAAATTAAATAACATCATTACGGTATAGACCGGTAATATATGTCTCAATTTTTTGTTCCAAAATATGTCATCTTGAAGAGCATAATTAAACTATTTTTTGAAAAAAAATTGAGTACGACTTAAAACAAAAAATATATAGCCCGTTAAATTAAATTGAAGAAAAAGTTATCTCTCCAAATGTACAAGAGACGGTTATAGATGCTCCTTTTGATGTCGAGCTTGCTGGCATTTGACATGGGTTACGCGTTGCTTGGGAGATGGGGTTCCGGTAAGTCATACTGCAGACAGACTCGACTACTGCCATCTCTTTACTGCAGCCGGATAGTGTCCGACACCCACATCATACTTTGATTCAGCGGCGGGTCCAAAACAGGGTAGAACACTTGGCCATATTTGGAAAAATGCAAAGAAGGCCGAGCCGTAATGCGACGAACACTTGAACGAATATAAAAAATCGAAAATTTACAAATACTATACTAACTTTAAATCTAGATGAGAGTTAGATGGTGGCCAGGGGCATCATCCATCTCGGCTTTGATCAACACCATTAACCGATTGTTGGCGTTGGAGTGGAAAGTTGTTATCACTCACGTGTTCCACAAGAGCAACTTTGTGGCAGACTATTTGGTCTTGGTTGATCATGGATTACCGATTGGGGTCTATTTGGTTAATAGTAATACCCTTGATTTTGCTTTGAACTATTGGTTGTATTATGATTTGAACTATTGGTTGTATTATGATGTTATGGAGATTCAGACTCCCCTCGGTTTTAATAATTATGGGTTAGAGGCTTAGAGTGTCCCATGCGCTTTGTTTAACACCAAAAAAGAAAAGATGGTTATTGATGCTCCCTGTGTGCTTTTAATCACCTGTCACAAAAGATTAAAATGGTGATTTCAACTTCAATAAAGGCTCACTCGTCCCAAGCAGTTGGGAAGATGGGCAGCAACAGAGCTCCAAAGTAAGAAGGGTGAAATTGTTTCTCGATAGGTGGTACTGGTATCAAATCCTTATAGGTATCTGTGTTTCTTTTGCCAGCTGTACATCAGTTTGAGATGGGAAGCCTATGAAACAGATGGTCTAGGGAGTGCCTTCTTCAGCCTCGGGGGCGCCTATCGCATTGAGAGGGAGAGCAGGTGCAAGCTCCAAGTAGTCAAATTCATCCGTTACTCCCAAGTCCCACCTGCAGTTGAGAATGGAAAGATGGTCCATATCAGTGTTGAATAAAGCCGAAACACAACCCTGCTTCAGAAGCAAGGTAGCACTATGTGTTTGAGCTTGACCATGGCTTCAAATTCCACTGATTCGCTCTACCATGTTCTTTGCTTTAAATCTCGTACCTCCTTGAACAGGTTATCAAGCTGCTCTGCCGCTTGGGGGAAGTTCTTTGAACACCACTGCCTCAAAGTGAAGATATTGTCTGCCATTTTCAAGCATCAAACAGAGTTTCGAATCATGATTACATTGAACAAGATTCAGGTATCTTTTACTTCGAGGTGAAAGTACCAGTCCATCTGTTTGCGGCTGCATGAGCGACGTCAATAGCTTCCTCTGTATAATTCATAGACAACAGACGTTACCTCTGAGCTAGCGAGATCGCAGTAGATAATTTAAATATTCAAACTAGAGCAGGTTCTGAACTCATTGCTTGGAATGCAGCTGGATCGTTATCTGCATATTTTGCCATCTCCTCCTGATGCAAATCAGACTTAGTTAGAGGGGTTTGACACTGGCCACTGGTCTTTATAGCTTGATGTGGGTCTGTGTAATTGGATGTACCTTCAGCTCATTATGCTTTGCCTGAATATCTTTCAGGTGTGTTAAGGCCACCTCTCGTTCATCCTGGTACAGAACATAAAAGTCAGACATTGACCATATTTCAGCATTTAATAATTGAATGCAAAATGGGACTTGAATATGCTTACTGATTCTTCACGACCCTTCTTTAGTCCCGCAGACTGTTCAATAAGCTCCGCGTACCGCTTCTTACTGCTTTGCAGATCAGAACCAAGTTTGTCCTTTATATTCTTCAGCTGGTTTACTCCAAGATGCGAGTTTAGGGAAAATAGAAGTCAAAAGATTATGAATTTCAGTTAGGTGGAGGAACCAAAACAACATTGCTTCACCTGATTTCCAGTACTGCTAGGAAGGCTCCAAAAGTAAACCTGACAGGTGAAGGAACTGTTAGCATTATGAAACTGGACATTTATGAAGAACCTATAAACCAGGGCAGATCAGTTGCACACCGATGTTCCTATTTTGTCTTTTAAAACCAGGTCATCGTCCACAAGACTCTGGACAACATCTTTCACAGATCGAGTAATCACACCTTTCTTAGGCCCCAACTTCTCCAGTTCCTTGAGCTGAAAGTGAAAAGCAGAAAGATATAAGTTAGCAGTGTACACAAACTTCAGAGTAGCTTGAGAAATGGCAGATGGCCAAATCCATTGGAACTACCGTACATAAAGGAAAGAGTTGGGGAAACCAAATCCATGAGGCGACTGTTTTGAATGAATGGTTGAGTGAAGTCTATGTTGGTCAGTGAACAGAAGGGAGACTCTTCCTTTACCCGATTTTGCTGCACTCGAATGTCATCTGTGGTGGTTGTCTAGGTTGTTGTTACTATTGTTCATGTGATGATGTCTAAAAGCCGGTATCATTTACGTGTTTTGTGTCTAAATGATATGTCCCCAAAGTTTGCATGATAAAACATTTTGAGCTTACCTTGTGTCTGACTTTGTTTGTTTAGGGACAAGCAAACAGTTAACTGTGGGGGAATTTGATAGCATCATATTTGCACATGTTTCCCTCATTTCTTAATCGTTTTGGCTTGATTTTGTGATTTCTTGGCCAATTTTATGCTAGGTTGTGCTCCTTTTCACATTTCAGGTCCTATAATGTAAAGTGAAGCATAGACGCAAGTTTCAAGTCAATCGGAGATCAATTGGCGACTCGGGAGAAGAAACTTGGGCATGATCTGAAGAAGAATTGATTTTTACCTCATTTTATGAAAAAAATAATCATGTAAGCTTGTCATTAAAATAAAGAGAACGAGACTACGAGCGTCTGGGATCAAACAACGACTGATTCGGAGTTCAGACGAGGGAGAAACGAAGAATGAAAGATAGTGAGACAGGAGCTGAGGAACAAACACGGGTTGGAGAAACACGACCGTGTTTTTCCCTCCTGTGCCCATTTTTTTAGTGCCGAGAAGAAACACGGGCAGGACTGAAACCCACCCCCTACTCGAGTGTAAATCTGTTTCTGCGATGTTTGAGAGGGAGATCTAGGTTTTGGTTCCCAAACACCTAAGAGACTAACCCTAGAGAGAGAGCGACTTGGGAACATTCTTGGAGCTATTTTGGAGGATTTCTTCGCCATTGGAGCTCGGGAATCAAGTTTGGAGATGGAGATTGAATATCTAGATCAGATTTATGCATTCTCTCTCATCTCTATTGAGTAACTTCCCTTCACCTAGGTTTTGAGGAACCTTAGTTCCATGTGTTAGGATCTTTCTTGTATGAACTTTTGGATGCTATAATGTTTGATTATAATCGACCGAGGCATGATTAATTGAGTCAATTGAATCCTAATCAAATTCTCTTAATTTCTGTTTGAACCTTTGATAGATAGAATCTGATTAGGTGAAGAGAGCTTCCTTGATTGATAGTAGTGAATTGATTGTACGAGAGTCGGTTAATTCAATGCTTTGTACTAGAATTCGTTCCACATAGTGGAGATATGTGTGAATCTCCTTAGCATTCTATCCCGGTGAAAGCTAGTCACCTTCCGGACAATCTGTCTAAGGGGGTTTGGTCGGCTTAAGAGATTCCAAGCTATTTTCAGATCTTACACGGTGTAATCTATAGTAAAACGACCAAAGGAGATTAAAACTTGGACCTAATTGAGGTGCTAGGGTGAATCATACCTGAGTGAGTCTTCTCCGTGGCTCCTTGTATTGTCTTAAACAGGGCCCCCGCTCCTGATCTACGTCTATGATATGATTGTTAGTGGGAGTGATACTAACGGTATTTCAGAATTGGCCGAGTCCCTTCGCTCCGCCTTTAATATCAAGGATCTTGGTGAGTTGTCATATTTTTTGGGTCTCGAGGTCTAGCGCAGTCTGCAGGGTATTCTCCTCACTCAATAGAAGTATATTCATGAATTATTGGAGCAGTCTTAGTTTGATGCTAGTCTTACCTGTTCCACACCCATGGAGCAGAACCTGAAACTCAGTCGTGACGACGGTGATCCTCTTTTTAATGGTACCGTGTATCGGCAGATCATCAACAGTCTTATGTATCTCTTGCATACGCGCCTAGATCTTGCCTATTCAATTCAGGTTGTCAGTCAGTTCATGTGTTCCCCTCGCACTACTCATCTCCAGGCGATTCATCGTATTTTACGCTATCTTCAGTTCACCAGGGATGCCGGGTTGTTTCTTCCTTTGTGTGGGGATCCTGTGTTGGAGGCCTATGCCGATGCATATTATACAGGTTGTGTCGATACACGTCATTCCATGTCGGGGTGGTGTGTGCAACTAGGAGGTGCCTTCATTTCTTGGCGTTGTCGGAAACATGACAAAGTTTCGAAGTCGTCCACTGAGGCCGATTACATGTCTATGTACGAAGTCAGCTCGAAGCTAGTGTGGCTTCGTCAGCTCTTTGAGGAGATTGAATTTCCTATCACTTTTCATATGCGGCTGTATGGTTATAATATGAGTGCTATTCTGATAGCCAATAACCCTATTCCACATGACCGAACGAAGCACATCGGGTTCATGTGCATTACATCCGGGAACTTGTTGCTGATGGATGTCTCAAGCTCTACTATATATGCTCGGAGGATCGGATCGCTGATTTCCTGACAAAGGCGGTCTCTTCTTCTCGTCATTGGTTTCTCTCTAGCAAATTGATGGTGCGAACTGCCCATCAATTTGGGGGAGGGTGTTAATGTATATTCCGTCTGGGGTATTATTGTACACACAATATATTACTAGAGCTAGGGTTAGCTATATATATGTTTTGTTCGACATGTATTAGGGTTACGGTATTCTTGACGATAATAAGATTGACTGAGAGCTACTCGCTTTCCGTGGAGTCAGACTGTTCATAGTGAACATGGAAACCACGTAAATCTTGTGTCTTCTCTATTCTTTCATGATTTACATGGTTGATTATCATAGACAACCAAACAAAACAAATGGAATTGGACTTCCAACCAGAACCTTCATGAAATGCTTTCCATCATCAATCTTAGTAACAGACAAACCATCCTTCCAGAGCAGCCAAATTTGACGATTCGGGGACTTGGGGTAATTAATCAAATGTTATAAATGACTAAAACTCTTTGCAAGTATATTCACATTAATTTATTCAATTATGCTAGTTTCTATAATAGCTATAAGATCAAGTTGCAAGATATGAAACTTCTTAAGCATTGTTGCGTGCTTCTTAGGAGTATTAGAGTCCCTGATATTGCAGCTTAAGACCTTCATTTCTCGCGTTTCTTGACTTGTCCTCTACCTCTGATAGGGGCAGGGGGAGGAGGCTCAACCTTTTTGTTCCATACAAGTCTACTTAAAGAGGGATATGACATGTCATCCAGATTTGACTTACCCACAATAATTTTAGCCTGATATGCACCCTAAACTTGCTCCACAACTACTTCATCAACTTTCTCCTTTCCGTTTCCCTGCTGAGTAGAAGCTGAAGGTACCGCCGTAACCGTAGTACGCTTCATACTTTTTGTTCTCCCTCCTGGATTAGAACAATGATGTCCAAACACACTACACTTCTCACACTTGCTAGGGACATGACAAAAATCGGCATCTACTAACATCTCAGAACGACCATCAGGGGTAATACTAAGCTTGTTAATCAGATTAGTTTTCATAGTAAATTCAACACAAACTTTCGCAACACCAAACCTTGTCCCCTGCTTGGTAGGAAAATCAATACAGAGAGGACACCCTAAGGAGCTAGCAAGACGCCCAAACTCTTTCTTTGAAGTAAGCTCAGATGGAAAATTGGACAAACAAACCCAAATTGGAAAAACGGAGTTATCAATGGCGAGAGGCGATTTGGGCTCAATAACACATATTTTACCCCTCATTTCTTATTCGTTTGACTTGGTAAATCATCGTCCTTCAACCTATTTTATGCATGGTTGTTCTTGTTTTGTTACATTTTAGGTCCTAGAACATGTGGGAAGGTCGAGGACGAGTTTCGTGACGATTGGAGGTTGAAAACCGCTAAAAAGTGAAGAAAGGTCCAAAGTCACAGTTTGCACACAATTGTCACGATCGCCAGATCAAGACAATTGCATGACGGGCGTGAAGATCAGTGGAAATAGAGGGTTTCGCGCCTCGCGATCCTAAGGATTATCACGATCGGCTGACCGTGATAATTTACCATAGACCGTGAAGTCGGACAAAAATAATAGCAGTCACTTGCGCTTTGGCCGAGATCACGATGGGGCTTCCAACGTCATGGCCATGAACAGTGGCCGTGAAAATCGACTGTCAGGCTATATGAAAAGTCATCAGTGGAGGAGAGAGAAAGGAGAGCTGTTTTTTGGAGGAGAAATCGATTCTTTCTCTAGGGTTTTGACCCAAAACGCCAAAGGGGAGTTCTAGTGAGAGATAGAAAGTTCTCAAGTGATCTTGGAGCTTAATTGCAGGCATTGATCAAGTTTGGAAGCAGGGAATCAAGCCTAGAAGAGGAAGATCTTGTGCTCCAATTTGTATTATATCCCTTCCCTTTTTAGAAACTTGCCCTCTTCTCTTGGGTTTGAGAACCCTAGGTATAGGTTTTGGTTTTATGTTGACGTATGTGATAAATTCCATATTTGATTGATGATTTTACTTAATTGATGGATGTTTTAATGAACGACATGAGTTTGGTTTCCATTTCATGTTTTGAGTTTTTGACCTAGGAGGGAGAAAATCCCCTTAGAGCTCACTATTGGCGTCTTCAAGTCACTCCTATCGTATATTGTCCGGATAATCCCCGGGGGAGTTGATTTAATCTGTCTCCTAGCAATATATAAAACCCTAGGTTGAATAGAGCACCTATCCATCCATTGAATGTCGTTCCAAGTCATTCCCAATGGAGTCTATCTCCTAACGGTAGAGTAATGAATCAATTAAGAGGGAATTGTATTCATCTTGTTCCAAATGATGGAACTAGGGGAATTCAAACCTAAGAGAGCTCCAACTTTGTAAATATCTAGGTTAGTGGTTAGCTAGGTTAGTTAGTTAAGTCATCGTAATCACTATCCTAGGTTGGCTCACTACAAAAAAGTCTGGCAGAAGTGACCAGAACCTTCTGACGACACAGTTTTTTCATTAGAAATAACTGTTTTTGTGACAAACTTTTATTTTGCTCAT